TTTCTGAAAAAAAAAACTCCAATACATGTATTTCATTTTTCCCTCACAAATGAGGTAAATATGTAAACTCTGGCCTTCGATTTCTCTTTAAAATGCCAAAGAAAAGAAAGTTGTAGACTATGATTTCTCATCGAATTGCTTTCGCCCTTACGCCCTTCATACACCAAAATTGAATCACTAATGGAACTTGATCTATAAAAAGAGCTTAAATGCAAAAAGCAAATCAATCTATCAATCTCACGAAACTTTGATATGTTTTCCCCTAAGAAATCGAACCAATACAACTAGCTCACATATGCTGTCCAAGCCGCACCACAACACAACAGCAGTACTCTTCCTGGTGAAAGACAAAGGACTTCATTTTATTACAAGCACTCCCCTGATTTCGACCTTCTGTGACTGAAATAAATACTCCTACGAGGAGCCAAACCGTCACCTACGAAGGAAATCCTCAAAAAAGCTTTAAAAGAAGCAGAAGGATAAAAATGGAAAGCGAAAGGAAGCTTGTGTGTTACATTTTACTAAGAACCGCACAGAGTGGATGGAGCAACAGGTGCAATAAAGCTTCTTTTCGAGCCATCATGGTTGCCATCGCCATAAGGAGCAGTACCCGTTCGTCCTGCAGGGCAAGGCCGATGTCCAGCGCTTTCGCGTTTTCCTCCTCCTGCGACTGTAGATCGACTGGGTCCGTCGCGGACGACATAACACTGGATCCGTCGCCCCCTTTCAATTCTCTGTTTCCACAAGTCGAACGGTGCACCCAAGCCAGCGGCAGCTCCAGCGGTTGGGTGGGGTGATTGCACTGTGCAGCCAGTAGATCCGTCTCCTGCTTCATGCGCTGAGAGGCGATGACGGCGGCGGAGGCGCGTGGAAGGATCCATCCATAGCAGCCGGTGAGGGTGATTTTCCCGCTTTCAGCCCCCACCGGGCCAGAGGTGCGCAGTCCCGATTGAGGGGATAAACGCCAAAGCATCACCTCCTCTAGAGTAAGCGCCTCTGGACGCACGGTCAGAGCCTGTGCATACCATTTCGCTGGTCGACGTAGCACTTTATTGATATCATTGTAGGGGTAGTCCTCCAGCATAAAGCCAAGGAGGTTGATGACATAAAGCTGCAAGGAGCGAAATGCGTAGGCCGGAGTGAAGCCTAAATTCTTTAAGCTAGCACAGTCCGTCTCCGTGAGCTGCCGCACAACATCTGTGAAGGACTCAATTTCCTCGCTCAGCAGCGCCGCCGCCCCGGGGTAGTAGTGCTCCATGGAGGTCGTCCCAACATCCTGCCAACAGAACTGGCTGCGTCTCAGCGTGTGCAAGTTGTCGCTGTTATAGGTTGATCTAATGCGCTGCTTGCTGACGATATCCGCCTCACCGGCATACCGTCTGAAGATGCATGAATCAGCATCATGCATAGACCTAAGGGCGTGAATTCGCTCCTCAGCGGGGGTTGCAGCAGCTAAACAAGCTAATGAATCCGTAAATATCATTTCATTTGATTCTGATGACTCACCAAAAGACGGAATACAAGAATTAGTCAATGCAGCATGGCAGGTACTAACTTTCTCCGCATGACGTTGTAGGTCATCGAGCATCTCCGATGGCAACATCGACCACGTCCACGTCTCCGTAGGCACGAAGAGACCCTGCACAAAGGAGCTCAATGAAAGCACGTGCGAGATAATGGCAGTCAACTGAAACACTTCAGGCACGGTCCACCCAGCTCGAAGAACTGCACGAACGTCGTCCTCGCTTAGTAACCATGGTGTATGGGCAGCGAGAGCGATAAAGTGCTGTACAACGCGCAGACGTGGTGGAGGGCCGTGCAGTAGCCACTGTTCACTCCCCCATGTAGAAGAAGATTCTGCTAATGCATCCGTTGATCGAAAAAACTCCGCACGCGAGTCATCACAGCATTCCTTGACCGCCTCAACAGTGAGTCCTGCCGACTGTGGATAGTGCATAAGAAGGGCTGCATAACGGCATACAAGGTACTCGCATTGATGTCTACTCGCCACCATGATCGCAAGCATTAACCGCTCATCCAAGGGAAGAGGACCGTCGTCGAAGAACACATACCGCATTGAGGCATGATGTGCACGCAATAAGTCTGGGTAAAGCGACAGTAAGTGATAGTAGGCAGGGCAATCACCTGTTTCTGTGAATACGCTATATAAAATTTCGTTCCTCAGCAAGCTAGTGGATTGTGGCACGAAGATGTGAGAGTGGCTCAGTGCTACCAGAAGCTGTCGCTGTCGCTGTCGTTGACGCGCGATATTCTGAAACTCCTTGCTGACGCCACCACCAGAGTCAATGGCGTGCTCACGACAGTTTTTGCTCTGTTGAGGAAATGCTATTTCTCTAGAACCACCTGCACTCGTGCCGCTCCTTGGACTTGGCGTATCAGTGCCTTCAGTGCTACCCCCGCCCTGCCTTCTTCGTCTAGAAGTCCGCATGCTACTAGTGTGTATATCTCTTTCCCTACAAGAAGTCATCTCCGCAACGATTCGACGCAGTACACGCTCTAAAAGAACCTTTTCTTCGCCATCGCCATTGTCCTTCATAATCACGCGCTCGATAGTGGGGAGCACCATCGCACATGGGGTTCGCGCACAAACAAATTTCGGTACTTCATCCTGTCGAATCGCCTTCTGATCCCCACGAAGCCACTCATCTAGCCTCTGAATGCGAACATGTGGGTCAAACCAAATAATTTCGTCGTCTGACCGAAACTTCAAGGGATGATACTCCCACACATAAACCTCTGATTTAGGGTTATTTTCTGTCACATCTGCATGGCCAGAGGCCTCCTTAACGCGTAAATCAGTCCCCGTAGTGCACCCAATATTCGGTAGCGCTGGAGAGGAAGGAGGTTGGGGGCTTGCGGACGCGCGGCGCGGTAGTGTGGCATTTGAAAAGGACGTGGGCAAAACAGGAAGTCTTGATAGAAAACAAATAATCTCCATCACATGAGCTCGCGTGGTGGAGCCGCGAGAGACGCGAGAAAAGATCTCACGAGGCGCACAATAACCATCAGCATGCGACAAGGCATCCGCGAGGATCAACTTGGCGGCATATGTCAGCGGTGCGCATGGGCAGTTAAAAGCAAGACTCAGAATAAACTGTCGCATAGCTCGACACGCGCTGCTTGCCTTTTGCTTTACGGTCGCATCAGGGCTACTTCCGACACCGGCCCTCGTACTTCCCCCCGTTCTCCCAACATTCCTATGGTCATCACTTGTTGGACAGTCAGCAGTGGGCGGATCGAATGCTTCACGGGCACATTGCTGCCCCAACTTCAAGAAGGCTTGGAAAATTTCACGTAGTTCATTCTCAGTGCAGAGCCGTGTCGAGGTGGTCATGGGTCCCCCATATCGTGTTGCCATTACCCCGCCAAAGCTACCATATATGGCTTCGCAGTATCCAGCAGAAGTCTGGAAGAGGTAATGGGGAAAGAAATACATCTCAAAAGTGTCTATCAAGGACGTACACTCGCTCGCCGTTACCGCGAGTGGGGTGCCGGGGGAGTGCGCACGAAATGGTGGAAGTGATAGAAGTACGGTTGGTCGTAGTCTCCTCGCCAAGAAATCTTGTGTCTGCAAAACGCCCTGTCCTGAGGCGCTAGGGTAACCCTCAACGCAGGCAGAATTGGTGCCCGCATGCTCTCGATGCCGCTCCTGTGGGTATGGCTCTTGTTTCTGAGCATTCAATTGCTCCCTGGAGAACACTTGGGATATAATCATAGCACTATACCACGATAAGTATCGTAAAGACACAGCACCAAGCACAGGTGCACCACAGATGGGTATACTACCAGTCGCATTAGAAGACACATTTGCGTCAGCAGTGCATGCACTAACGATAACAGAAGCGCCAGTCGAGACCGGTGCCACATTGCCAGGTAAATGAGACCTATTTGGACCGGTACAGCTACTATCATTACTACTACTGATATCAAGAGTAGTTATTGATAACTGCGTCTGTTGTTCACTTGATTGCAGTGGCGGTTGCCGCCGACTCGTATGTGCTCCTAACTCACCATACATCTAAGTATAAAAATTCAATGTGATGGGAATAACTAAATTAGAAAAAGAATGAACTAAAAGAAAAATTAAACGTGAGAATATAGAAGAATAATTTCCAAAACCTCAACTCACTATATGTCATCACTTTTATCTTGGCTCTTTATCTTTTAGGGAATATGCATACGCACGATCCGTAGCTATATTCCCTATTTGTTTTATACTTTCATGCTCAATTTCAGATGCAGTAAAACGAAAAATGAGAGCGTCGATTTTTATTCACACCTTTTGATCAAAAATATAATTACTCAATATCGGTAAAAATTACAGGTAAGGTCATAAATTTTGTTAATCCACACCTCCGGAAAACCTGAAACGAGAAAAAAATCATTTACACATATTGATTTTTAAGTCATGAAAGAAAAATTACCTACCCTAAAATGAAATTAAAGCTAACCTCTATTACATGTCTCTTTATCAGGGTAAATAAACACAGTTTACTTGTCAACTTAGAAGTTCATTTGCTGTCCTCCTGAAGAGTCAACGCTATACGTGTAATTAAAAAATCCTCGCCATTCAATTATACGCTAGAATTGATTATTTTATCTTAGTCTTTTCTAGAATCAGAAATGAGCGTTTTAGCCCACATATAGTACACTAATTTATACTTGTCAATGGAAGGAAATTTCAGTGTCACCTCTTACTTTGTAAGTCTCAATTTCTCTGAAATTAATATATATGATAAAGTTAACATGCGGATGACCTCCTCATACGAAATCTATCACTCTACACTAAGAAAAGAATGGATAGGCGAGGCGTCAAAACTAAAAACGGTTGAGATATAGGCATGGAAAAGCCTCACAACACCCTTGCATAATAGGAAAATACAGTGCAGCGGCTCTGAGTTCCACACCATTGTGTATATTTCCCTCACACAATTTTGGAAATACATGGCTCAAAATGCGTATTCACTTTCGAAGAATCTATGTTATTGCTGCATATTCGAAAGCAACAACAGGAAAAAAATAGTAAATGACATATAATGCATAGGATCCATAATTTAAGAAAACTTATATAGTTGACAGTTTTAACATCAAAGAAGCAAACAGTGATTACATGTATATCCACACATCCAAAGTATAATCTAATTGACCCAAACTTCAAGCATGGATAGAAAACAATTATAAAGGTGTGAACTGTGTCCACACACGGAATAATACGATATTTGCTAAACGATATCATAAAGCCTGCACTGTGAATCCAGATAACGCTTTGACCATCTCCACTGGACTTCTCTCCGGTACAGAAATTGTCCTTCTTATACCCTGCGTCATCTGTAACGTTACTAGGGAGCCCGTCCCGCGCTCCCCCACAACACCACCAGAGATCCATCAGACTATTCCCCATTCCAAAAGAAGATGCTAATGAAGCTTATATGTCCAGTCCAAATCCTTGCATTAGCGCCGGTACCAGGAATTGCAAGAATAATGTAATTTAAGTTGAAGCTCGTACCACAGTAAATCGTATTAAGGGTACTTCATTCTGATGTATCCGTGTGTAAATACTGCTGCCGAAAAACCCTATAGGACCTGAATCACAAAAATGTCCTGGATATCGAAGACATGGAGAAATGATTCTAAAGCTCACTCCAACACCCTCTGGATCACAAGAACCACCAGTAACCTAAATGCAAACCGCATATCAGCCGCGCTCAGCATTTTGATGAATCGTTCAATTCGCTTCATAGTACATTAGTTAAGATAAGAGAGTTGTCAATTTCACTTAGTCACCTCACCCCTGCAAGCATTGATTCAGTATAAACACTATCAGGCAATGGTCCTCTACATGACACATAATATACTGGGAATTTTACTGTAGTAAATACTATCCGCCTTGATGATAGGGTCAGAAAATGTACGACAGAGTTTGTGGAGTCCTAGATAATCTCAATATCCTTCGAATAAATACTACTCTCATCATTTTTACATCATTGAACTAGATGTACCAAACTAAACCAAAAGCAGATGCTAATGAATGGAAGGATATGAATATGACGATAAGAAAAGAAGAGGAATAATACTAACAAAATTATCACTATTTTGCTAATGCATCGTTTGGCTTGCGAGTGTTCATATGTTTTGCCTTCTTTTTTGTTGTTGAGCCCTCACATATGCAGGAAAAGGAAACCGCTAAAGATGATTCCAGCACGACATCTAATTTTTTTTCCCAGACAACCCTGCGACAAACTTTTCAAAACCTATTTGTTAATGCTATTAAATTCTAATCATCTTCAGAAAATAAGTTCTCCGGAGGGAAGTCGCCTACCTCTACTTGATCCGGACGCAAAAAAGCGCCGTATAGTGGCGCGCAATCAAACAATCTTTGCCCATTCACGCTGCCATCAGATTTCCCCACAGGCTCATCGAACTGCACACCAACCCAGTAGCCTGGCTTCAGCTTTGCAATACGGCCCACATACTTCACTTCGCCAAGACGATCTCCAGGCTTGCATCTGCAGCGGCTACCAACTTGGATCTGTTTGGCACTTTCCTCGTAGCTGTCCGCGTTGAGTGTAACTACGGGGGTCGGTGCCACCCCAGCAGCCTCCATTTCCGCTCGCTGTCTGGCCAGCATCTGTTGTTTGAAGGCACGTACGTTATCGCCACGTTTCAGCCACTCCTCCTCACTAATCTCAAACTTCTTGACTTTAGAAAGGTCATTGAAGGCCGAAATGGTTTCCGCAGGCTGTGTGTCAACAACATGAATCCGATAGCCATCTCTGCATTGATAGTACCCCAACATTTTTTCGTTGCTCATGTCTGCTTCAATTAGAAGGCCACGATCATCGTAGAGCTCCAGGCGGCAGTACGCAGACGGGGTCCCGAAGTGGGAATAGGCGCTCTGTTTGATGCTCTCAACGGACTGTGTCAGAGCGAAGCGCTTTTCGGGAACTACATTCTGACTGGCAGAGTGTGTAAGGGTTATCTTAGCAACCGACATAGTTCCTAGATAACACAATATGTGGTGAAATTTATATACTTGAGTGGGCAGCTATATAATTTGCCCCGAAAGAAGCCGTTGGGGTAGATGAGGTATATTGTAAGCCACGGATGTTGTGCTTACTGTTTTAATAAAATGGAAAAAATTGTGTTACAAACTTGATGTGCAGGCGTAAAAATAGAAATTAAAGTTAAAAGGAATAATAGGCTTAAATTGGTACCCATTGCTTCTCCCCTTTCATTCCTCACCCTTCTCAGCACCTTGCTCTCTCCTACCTCACACCTCCAAACTCAGATACCCTTTTCTACACATTATCACCTCTAAGGGAATAAATTTACATCGTGTAAAATATAAAAAGAAACCTCTAGTATGGATACATTACAAGAACGCTAATGGAAACGCACAAGCAAAGGAACTATGCATGTTCAAAATCTATGTACCATTCTTTACTTTAACTCCAATAACGTATAGTTCCATCAGAGCCACAGCTTACTAAGAACCCACTTGTTGAAGGATCAAACGCAATGCATTGTACCGGACCCTCATGGCCTAACAAGTCCCGTGCATTTAAATTCTTACCGTTACTGCTTTCATCCCTACTCTTATCATGGCCGCCAAGGGCAAGTCGGAGCATGCGGATTCTCCCGTCATCCATCGCAACACCGATATACCTCCCTGTACCATCCACGGCAAGACAATTGGCTGCTCCCGGTGCGCAGCTCACGGTCTGTCGCGGCTCCATTCTCCGAAGATCCCATACCTTAACAACACCTTCTGCGTCGCACGAAACAAGAGCGGTGTCGCTGTCCGAACTGCTTCCTCCAACCAACGGAACGACACAGCGCACCGCATTGCGGTGCCCATAGAGCGTGTTGGCGCAAAAATTCATTCTCGCGTCCCACACCGAAACGGTTTTATCCCCACTACCTGTGCACAGGAGATTAGTATACGGCAGCCACCGCACGCTATTGACCCCGTCCATATGTCCACGTAGGGAATGAAGACATAACCCCCTCTCAACATCCCAAACCCGCGCCGTGTAATCCAGAGCGCCACTTGCCAACAGCCGACCGGTCTCCTGGAAGTCCACACACCATACTCCGTCTGTGTGTGCCACCAGCGTCGTGGAACAGCGATTCGTGGCAAAGTCCCACAACTTCAGCGTTTTATCACCGGAACCGGTGGCAGCCATCGTACCGGTCGGATGCATGGCAACGCTCGAGACCCAATTTTTATGGCTTCCAGATAGAATCAGCTCACCCTGCGGGAGGGTCCAGAGCTTCCAAGTGCCGTCGTCGCTGCAACTAGCCACGGCCGGTTTGCGCTGATGGAGGGATATATTTGTGACAGGCATCGTGTGTGCAACGAAAGAAGACTGACAAGTCCACTCCAAGGGTGGAAGTGGGCATTGTGAAGCCTCCGTCTGAGTATCTTTCTGCAATTGCGCTTCTCCGGAAGCAGCGGACGCGCTGCTAAGGCAAGCGTAATGCGGTAGCGAGGACATCTGCGCCGGCCTCGCACGCTCATCTGCCGGCCACTGAAAAGCCGAAGCCGCAGCCGGAGGGGGTGCAGAGGGAGGGCCATTCGATCTATCGGTGGGAGTATGCAACTTGAATTTCACTGCGTTCTTGCCCTCGCGCGGGGGCGATATAGTTTCTCGCTTAGCATGGATTGCCACCGAAGCGGTTGGGCTGCGCACCTCACCATTACGGCGAGTCCCTGGAATGGAAGATGCTATCATGCCCTGCGTTGTCTTTGCGCTACTACCAATGGTCTTTAGAGACGCACCAGTCACCACCCCATCAGGCACTGTCTTTGCAGTTGATTTAACCCCCTGATCAGTTTTTCGTTCCTTAGGCTTCTGCTGCGACTGCAGGACAGAAAGCTGCAGTTCTAGATCATTCACGCGTTGCTCCAGTTTTTCCTTCTCTAAAGTCACTAAAGTTTTTGCCTTGAGCATGCCTTCGTATCGCTGTCGCAATTCTACAATCGTGGGGTTGATGCCCTCAGCGTGCCGATGTGATTGCTTAAGCAGCTTCGAAAGTTTGTTCTTCTCCTGCACAACACGACTGTGGTGAATACGGTGAAACTCACAGTCTTTCTTCGCTTGCAGCCACTGTTTTGTTGTCTTTGTAGTTAGCTCGGCATGCCGTCGCAAGTTGTGTTCCAGCTCCTCGATTCTGTTTAGAAGTGATGCATTCTCCACGTAATTGTCTGGTACGAGAAAAAGCGGTGCCTTTTCCGTGTCATTAAGGTTGCCAAAGCGCTCGTACCACTCGAACTCGAACATCTCTAACGTGCGTAACATGCCGTTTCGTAAAAGAAAGTTCCGAATATAATCGTCGACAACTTCTGGTGCACATTTGAGCATGGGTTGAGGTTGATCTGGAACGGGATTGTGCGGAACTCCGTCATCTTTAGTTGCTTGGTGGAGTGTGTCAAAGTTCATGTCTGTGGTGCTCATCAGAGTAACCAAATTATCGGCACCATAGACAAAACTGGGCCTGTCTTTCTGCGTGCCTTCATACGGAAGCGCCTTTGTGCTTAGTTCTGACTCTCGCTTCTTAGCAGCAATCGTGGTAGTCGCTAGCATTAATTTGTATCTTCTCTTTTTGTTCACAAAAAATATTAACTGGTGTATTCGCTTCAAGAAGAATTTTAAGCGCCAAACAGCATTGCTAATGGAAAAAATAAAATAAAAAAGTAAAGCATTAAAAGAGGAATGTCTCTTTGTTTATTTGTTAAATAGAAAATTCTAGCACATATGCAATTGAAGAAAGACACTCCATTTCGAAAGACTTGGAAATAAGCGGGAATATCACCAAAAAGAAATGTGCCTCTATATTAATAGCTCTATAAAAATTTGTAGATATGAAAATTATATAAAAAGAATAACATTTAGACAAAAGTAAGCCCCGACTTGTACTACTTCTTCACTGTGAACTAGAAAAAGTATTTAAAGAATCATTTCCTCGCTGCTTCATTAGTACACACGCGCACGGAGCAAGGGGGGAATAACATAATATTAAGACACACTCCCCTTTCACCCAATGGTCTCAAGCGGTAGAAACACCAATCTGAGTGAGATGCATAGGTAGCTGCCAGGACATTGGGGTGTGCCCGAGACCCTCAAGTGCCGCGTTACACTTAGAAAAGCACCGGCATCCAAACCAGTGGCGGGAGCTCAGCGGGGAAGGGTGAGCACACTCTATGATGACGTGGCGGGATAAATCTATAAGCCCCTTCTTTGCTCGAGCAAAGTTCCCCCAGAGCAGAAACACGAGGCGGTTGGGACATCGGCGTGACAAAAGCTGAATAACATCGTTCGTAAATAGCTGCCAGCCACAGTGGCTGTGTGCATTGGCCTTGTGCGCTTCCACCGTAAGCGTGGCGTTGAGCATGAGCATGCCCTGCCTTGCCCAGCCCTCCAGGTACCCATGAGACGGAATCTTGAAGCCAGGAATGTCATTAGCAAGCTCTTTGTATATATTTTGAAGACTCGGTGGTGGGTGGACACCTGGCAACACTGAGAAACACATACCGTGCGCTTGCCCTATGTTGTGGTACGGGTCTTGACCTAACAATACAACCTTGAGGGAACCTAAAGGAGTGCTATTGAAGGCTGAAAAGATACACTCGGCGGGTGGTAAAATAAGTTTTCCCGCCGCACGCTCCCTATCGAGAAAGAGCTCGATTCTGTAGAAAAGTTGATCCCTCCAGCTGTCTTCCATAATGGGAGAAAGAAAACGCCTCCAGTGCACGTCAAGAATAAGGTCTGCCAACCACCGAGAGGAAGAAGCCGCCCCTTTGGGTGGCTCACCAGATTCAGTGTTAGCATTTTTGTCCAAATAGCTTCGCTTGTCTGAAGAGCGTGAGCGTACCGATGACGATAAGGAAGGAGAGCGGGGGCGCTTTTGCACGCCATTACCGTTCACAGAAGTACTAATACTACCTTTATCCGCTGCTATGGTGAAAGGAATAGTGTTATTTGACTCCACTTTGTCAACATCCACAGGAACAGCATTTAGGCTATTTTTAGATGATATGCGTTGCGTGTCGGGAGCGCCGCATGGATTATCTTTTTTTTTGGAATAGAAAAAAAGAGTACGCTGCATTTTCTTGTTCTAAAATCAACTACCAAAATCGAAGGTGATATGAAAAATAAAATTTCAATAGAAAGTAAAGTGAGTCAAAATAAACTACTTAGACTCCAATTCGCAAGCCTAGATTACATTGATCTTGCGAATTCAGAAAAGTATCGCCATCCATAAAAAAGTGACAACAAAAGAGGTGCTATGATGTCAGAAAAAAAAAACAATCATAGCAATTAAGTATATTTCCACGTTTCATCCGTTTGCGTTATAAAGCAAATGGATCAAAAAGAGTAATTCTTTTCCAAACCTATAAAGACATGTACGAATTTACATGCTAAGAGCCTAGTGAAAAAAATATTTTGCCTTCTTTTTCATTCCAGTGTTGAATCACGTACCCGTAGGCAGACAGCAATACGGTAACAAGCTGCTCCACCTTTATAAGAAGAACATCCTGTTTTGAGGAAGTTGCTCTGACTTCCGTCGTAGAGATAGTAATTTTATCAGCATCGGCACAATTCTGACACTCGTGAGCAGGCGGAGTATACCTCACCGAGCGCCCATCAGAGCAAACCTCTAGTGAGGGCAATGGCGGCGCAATGACTATACGCAAGGCGTTGTGAGCAAGTTGGTTTCCAGATGCCTTCCTATTATCTTCGGCCCTGCTCATAGATTCGTGTTCGTACGGTTGGCCTTTAATTCCCCTAAAGCTATCGGCATTATATGAGCCCTGAAAGCCATCAGGGGTCGAACAATGGGTAAATAGATTGTCGCTGCTAAAATGTTTTGTCTCAGTCACGGGGGCTGATGGCCTAGAAAACGCTTCTCTTACAATAACTGTTGTGGGCCAACAGACATAGATGCCACGTGGTAGCTCTCGTCGAAAGGACATCCGCTGGTATCCATAATGTCTCATGATAAGCTCCTCGAGCGCTGTTAACTGATAAAACCTAGTTTCCTCTAGAAGCAGGTCCCACTCATCAAATGATTCTGAAACATAGAGAGCATTGCTTCGGAGGTAGTTTATGATAACTCGAAAGATTACACCATCACGGTCCACAAAGTAGCTCCCATCTTCAGATACTTTTGCACGACCACATAAAATAGGTCCGAAAATCGGGTGGCCTTCGAGAGGCTGCAATGCTTGATAGGTAGTGAAGTATAAAATCCCACCAATGTTAAGAGAAATAGTTCTCAACAGATCACCCTTGCTATCGGCACGGGAGCCTTTCTGGAGCCAATTCATCCCTTTCGTGAAAATAAACGTATGGTAAGGAAAAACTTAGAGAACAAAAGAGAAGGAAAATTCAAATTAACAAAGCTAAAAAGGAACAATTTTTAAACCTTTAAAAGTAACGACAGACAATAAAACTTGGTATATTTGCTTGAGTTATATATGAAACTCTCCTCTAAGATCAAAAGAAGGAAAGCAAAAAATGCTATATATCCTCTCCGCTTGCTCGAAAGATACACGAACAAGCTGATAAACAAACTACTACCATCGTTTCCTGTTACATACCTGGCTTGACCATACGCCGATCAAGGATACATATGAAGCGGTTATCTTATTCTTCTCCAGCGGTGGTAAACGGTTTAACACCTCCGTTGCCAAGTGAAACTCACCAGCCTGCTCAAGAGTCACGATAAGAGTGGCATAGCTGACGACATCCGGTGACGGCGCAGCAAAAGTGCTTTCGACTGCATTGCATTCCGCGGACGCAGCTCTGTGGGTCGCCGCAGCACCACTCGTTTCAACATTGCGATTGGGGATCAAAGTCATGTGGGATTCGGTGGGTACCTGTTGTTGTGCAGGCGTGGAAAAGGGGCAAAACCAATCTGAAGCCAGGACACTCTTCGTTTCTTTCACTTCATCAGAATGTCTTGATATCGCCGCATACTCTCTCACAGACTGCCAATACTGCAAAGGGTTTGGTCCCATACATCGCACAACAGCCATGGATGCGATCCAATCCCCATCACTTCTGCAGCTAGAAAGAATCACATTGAACGCCTCGACAGGTACGCAATGCAGTTGAAAACAGAGCTGACGAGTTAGGTAATAGCACGCCACCTGCCAACCCCTCACCTCAACACCATTTTTCGTGGCTACAGTACCTTGGCTGCTCGGTTGATCGCCCAGATGATTGTGAAGGGTCGTTTTTGGAACCCCAACCTCCTCCCTTAAGGCTATCGGTGCAACGCGACGGCGTGCCATCAAACCGACCGCGTGTGAGATTATGCTCGGGTGGGCTTCACCGAAATGCCTAACGAGAAACAAGGTTAACCCCCATTGCTCACTGCTTGCACACATGTCCATGAGGAGTGTGATGTGCGCGCTGCTTGGCGTGACGTGGCACTTCCGCCGTTGGTCTGGAGGAGCGGATGCCGGCGGAGGTGAAGGCAAGGAAGAACTCCTAACGCCCCCACTGGTAACTAACACCTCATCAGGAAGCACCGTACACGTGGCATCAAGAAATGTCGCGAGGCTCTCCTCCCAGGCACCCATTTTTTTACCAAACTTTAAGAATATCAACAAATCCATGCCGTTTCGCACCAGCTTCGGGGGAGATAAACCCTTCAGACGATAAGTCGAAAGTCGGTCGACAGACCGGCCTGATTTTTCGTCAATTTTGTCAATTAAATATCGAGGATAGAGGTATGACGTTCGAGTGGAGGTTGCTTTCATCTGAGAACCTGGTGCCACCACAGGGAGGTGAGAGGAATGGAAAAGACTGGGAATGATTTGGTCAGCACGCTGCCTAGGAAATCGCATAGAATGTGCGAGGACATGTTCCAACGTGCGCGGTGACATGTCCCTAAGTGTGTATATTTGGATGCAAGAAGACGCAAATGGTGAAACGCACCTATTAAGCGCTGGTAAAAATCTGAGAACAATAACTAGCAATTCCTGTAAAGTGAAGATTCATATTGAACTTAGTGATGAACTTAGTATGTGCAATGAAGAGAAAGAGAAAGGAAACCATCGTGCGTGTGTGTGTGTAAGGCTAAAGATTAGTGACCAGCCCTGTCTATTGTATAAATATACCTCGAGCCAATTATATATGCTTGTTTGGGAACATTTTACAAATATTGGACCATTTAAACAAAAAAGAAAAAAACATTTGAATATAGCCCCTTAAAGGCTATAAACGTTTATATTATAAAAATTCGTTTTGCTTAAGGTAAAATCTAAAAATATTCAGAAAATGAACATGTTAGAGCCTAGATATTATTTATCCTTCCGTCAAACTATCCGCAGGAGATGGAATCCTTTACATCCTTCTATTTTCTGAACTCACGTCGGTGCACAACGAGCCATATCCAAAGCACGAAATGAATAAGGAAAAATCCAACAAGAGATGCAAATTAATTACTTAGCAATATAAGGGTATTAAGATAAGAATTCGAATAAGCTATTCACTATCATGTATATATATATATATACATAATCCGTTCCAGGTGTAAAAAGGTAAACAACCTTTATTTCCCTTTCCTTTCCGCATCACTGTTAGACTCATCAGAGATGCTGCAGCACAAAAATAAAAACCCTAAAGTATGTATTTATGTAAGTATTTACTATTATAGTGTCGGTTTTATATTTTCCTTGAATATTATCTGTAATACTACTTCTATACAACTGCCTACTTAAGACCCAAGCCTATTACGTAAAACGTAGTTTAGAATGCCTCCATGCTGCATATAATGGACCTCCACCTCGGTGTCAATGCGTACAATGGCTTCAAAAGTCTTTCCGTCATCGCAATATACGGTAATACTTTGCAGGGGTGTCAAGTTCTTAGGCAGTTCAATGTTGAACCTTTCTTTCCCAGTCAAACCCAAAGACTGCGCGCTTTCATTTGGTTTGAATTGCAGAGGAATGATGCCCATGCCCACTAGATTAGAGCGGTGAATACGCTCGAAGCTCTCAGTAATGACAGCTTTTACACCTTGCAAAAAGGGCCCCTTGGCCGCCCAGTCACGAGATGAACCACTGCCATACTCCTTGCCAGCCAAAATCAGAGTGGGAATACCCTCCACGCGGTATTTCATCGCGGCATCGAAGATGAACATCTTTTCCCCGGTTGGATGGTATATTGTGTACGGGCCGGTCTGACCCTCCCCAACAAGTTTGTTGCCTATACGGGTGTTTGCAAAGGTGCCACGCATCATAACCTCATCGTTGCCTCGACGAGCTCCATATGTGTTGAAGTCCTTACGCTCAACGCCATGCTCCATGAGATACTTTGCGGCAGGTGAGTCCTTGGCAATGTTACCTGCAGGGGAGATGTGGTCAGTAGTGATCGAGTCACCTAAAAAAGCTAAGCAAGCGGCTTGCTTGATGGGCTTGATACCCGGTGGCTCTTTGGTCATCCCCTCGAAGTACGGCGGGTTGTGAATATAGGTAGAGTTGGAGTCCCAGTTGTAAAACTCGCCCTTCTCCACCTGGAGTAGGTTCCAAGCCTCGTTTATCGTGGTAATGTTTTCATAGACACTCTTGAAGAGACCTGGAGTCACGAACTGGTTCACAACCTGATGAATTTCCTCGTTTGTAGGCCAAATATCTCGCAGATACACACCGTCTGCGATGGGCTCAGTCTCAAAGTCGATGTCCATACGTCCAGCGAGTGCGTAGGCTACAACCAACGGCGGTGAGGCAAGGTAATTAGCGGCTGTCAAAGGATGAATGCGGGCCTCGAAGTTACGGTTCCCTGACAACACCGCGGCTGCAACAAAGTTGTTTTCCTTGATGCAGTCCATTACCTCCGTAGGAATTTCTCCTGAGTTGCCAATGCAGGTCATGCAGCCATAGCCAGTGGTATGAAAACCAAGCTCATCGAGATGCTTTTGCAGACCTGCCGCCTCTAAGTACTTCGTCACAACGTGGGAACCTGGAGAAAGTGAAGTCTTGACGCCGGGCCCCACTTTGAGCCCCTTTGTGTTGGCCTTCTTTGCGATGAGTCCAGCTGCAATGAGTACACTCGGATTCGAAGTGTTTGTGCACGATGTGATGGCAGCAATTACGACGCTACCATGCTGCATTGTTGTCTCTTTGCCACCGACAGTGTACTTGACTTTCTTGTCTCGCTCCTCCGCAGGGATGCCGAAGCCCTTAAAACCGCTTTTCGCGGATAAGCACGCCTTGAAATCTTTTGGCATGTCAGCCAATGAGACGTTGTCATGAGGTCGTTTAGGACCTGCTAAACACGGCACGACTGTTGATAAGTCAAGCTCCAGATGTTCGGAATAGATAATATTTTCTCCACCTGTGCGGAAGAGGCCGACAGCCTTAGTGTAATTCTCGATCCGCGCAATGTGCTCAGGTGTGCGATTCGTAGTCTTGAGGTAGGAGATTGTCTCATTATCAATGGGGATGTAGCCAATTGTGGCGCCGTATTCCGGGGCCATGTTTCCCAGGGTTGCGCGGTCGGCGAGTGAAAGGTTATCCACACCCGGACCGTAGAACTCAACAAATTTGTTCACTACACCCAACTTGCGCAAATTTTTCACAACAGTAAGAACAAGGTCTGTGGCTGTGCAACCTTCCCGCAAGCTCCCTGTGAACTTATAGCCGACGACCTGAGGCAAGACCATGGACAAGCACTGACCCAGCATGCCAGCCTCAGCTTCAATCCCACCAACACCCCAGCCCACTACACCGAGCCCGTTGACCATGGTTGTGTGGGAGTCTGTACCAACGACAGAATCTGGGTATAGCATGCCATTGTAATTGAAAACGACCTGTGCCAGGTACTCGAGATTGACCTGATGAACGATGCCGGAGCCTGGGGGAACGATCAGCAAGTTATCGAAGGCATTGGAGCCCCACTTTAGGAACTCGAAACGCTCGCGATTACGTTTCATCTCCATATTCTGATTGAAAGTGGCAGCATCTTTAGTTCCGGCGACATCCACTTGAACGGAGTGATCCACGACAAGGTTTACAGGGATCTGCGGGTTGATGATATTAGGATCACCGCCCAGCATTTTCATAGCATCTCGCATTGAAGCTAAATCAACAATGCACGGCACACCAGTGAAATCCTGAAGCACCACACGCGCGGGTTTGAAAGGTATCTCAATGTTCTTGGTGCAGTTTGTCTTCCAGTCAAGGATATTGCTCACTGTTTTCGACGTGACATCAAATTCATTGCAGTTCCTCACCGCAGACTCAAGCAATACACGAATGGAAAAGGGTAGTTGTTCATACTTGGCCTTGTCAATTTCATTGATTTTGTAATATCGAGCCATACTCTTGTCAGACATCATGGTACCCAGAAATTTGCCATCAAACGGATTTTGTTGTGCGCCTTTTTTCCTTATTAAAGTAGAACTCCGCAACATTGCCTCTTAAAAAATATATGCGTATATATATTTTTATATATATTTTTTATTTATATTATATTCCTTACTTGAATGTATTTAAGTCAAAGTTCAACTTGCAGTTGCCTATGAAACTGAAAGTGATAATTTTAGAAAGAAAGCGATTCACTATCTAATTTTAAAACGATATAATTGTTTGCGCTTGACGTTAGTTGAATTAATCCAAAATTCAATATTTACAACAATAGCCTACTATCAAGTAAACGGAAAGTATCTAGTAAAAAAAATAAATGACGAAAGCACTCCTATAAAAAAGGATAAAAATAAGAAAGTGCTCTTTGTTTGTGCATGCAAAGAATACCTCTCGAATAAATAACACAGCTAAATGAAACCCGGGGGAAAAATTTAGACACCCCTTCGTTGTATTTTTATATTCATGCAAACCAATAAACCTGGACGCGTCTGCCCATAGTAACTTACAATGGCAAAGAACGTGTAGAATCAAAATAGGTCGTGGTGGGTACAAATAAGATACTGCAAACAATGACAATAATATTATGACTACAATACTCGTGAGTATTCAACTCGAGCAATTGACACAAAATTGCGTTTGTAAAACCCCATCAACTTATCACTACATTTCTCCCACTAACAAAATACCATTGTATCTGCGATAACTGCAGTTCACACTCGCCGAGTAGACGCACATTTTCCACCACCTAAGATTCGAGACAAAAGAACGTCGTACCACCGAGTGTGCTCCTTTGAGCTGAGCCCACGCATCGATGAGCCCCACATTGCCCATCCGCTGGAGCAGACGTTCTTTCTCACTACCTAAGCGCTACTGCTGCCACGTGATTCACTGCAATGACTCTTTTAAATGAATGTATGTATATGCATATACTTCAATTTGTTGAGATGCATCCCGGAACTCAAAGAATCGAGCTTTTATCTCACTTCTCCAGTTTTACTCTGCGCTTTGAATGCGCGTTTGTCAGTATGACTCCATTTCATGAAATCATTTGAACCTCACTACCTCGGCCGAATGTTGAGGCCTAACAATCATAATGTCGTCTGACTCCGTCTGAACCAACATGTTGTCGCTTGCATGCCATCGGAGCTCTTGATAGGCCTCACAGAACAGAGTGCAGAAGGCCGCCAGCATCGACGCGATGCTCCTATTTCTCGCATTTAACTTGATATTTCAACTATGGAACTAGACCATACCACCTTTCTGCTTTCGCTACGCCTCTTCGCAATGATGTTGCATCATTCACTGTGCACCATCCTGTCTGGTTGCATGCAACTCCGTTAAGCCTGTTCCACAGGTTCAAAAGTAACATCAAGCCTCGCACGTAGCAAGAATACCTTTTTTCAGAATAACTAACGCGTATTTATTGCTAGTGTCACTAAGCGTTTCTCTCAGCATAATCCTCCAAATTGACCTTTCACGTTCATCTTATGTATCCAATACTTCCTAACCGCGATCAATGACTCGTTTGGTGACTTATATGAGGCGCTATTTCTTTCCACAACAACACTATACTCAAGGCTGTTTGTCTCAGGCTTGCAAAAATACAACAAGAGACTGTTTTCGATGTCACATCGGCATCACTCACGATTGATAGCGGCACTCTATCAGAAGATCCTTCGCCTCTATACAGTATTCAATCGTACTATGGAAGGCAAAACCAGTATCAATGAAGGTAGAAGAATAAAACTATAAATTGACTCATGGGAAACATTAACCAAGGATACTTCTTGTCATCGAGATGATACCTGGAAATAAAATTTTCTGAGTTTTCAAGGTATCCCCGCAGTTCATCTCCCGGTTGCGGTGATGAATTGGGGTCGGCGTACAACAAAAGCCGTTTAAAACCAAAACCAGTGTCGTATATGGGTTTAAGGGAAGCAGCTAATAATAGGTGTCTATCGCTTCAAGACCAAGCGTGGAGCAAAAATTACCACTAGAGCTAGGTCAAAGATGATTGTCAGCATGCACACTTAAAGTGTTGGGTCTTGGCCTGTTAACGGAGTCATATTTATCTAATCCGATGGAGACTTAGTCACTTAGGCGGAGCCCACTTCAATGCTGGCCGAGCGATAGAACGGGAAATGATGATGCTGGTCCTTGGCCTTTGATTGGTTACAGAGAAGGCAAATTGCACGCACAAAAAGGGTTACTAAGTCCTTCCCCCCTCATCTATCAACCTCCTCGTTTTCCAGTGACTCCAGACACCGATCAAGAAGCACGCTATACGAGCTATTTAGCTGATACTACCTGCTTCAGTAACGGTACATACGCACCCGATGGAGTTGAAGAAAATGGAAAGAACAATGACACCAATGACATATGTAGAATTCACTTGTCATTAATACCATCCGTTTGGAAAATCTAATATCTTCCCAGAGACCCCTCTCTTTTGTATTTACTGTTTCGATGGCAATGCTAATTTAATTGATTGGTTTGATGTTTTCCTTCCATTACTCCTAATTATGCTAATATAACATAGGTATATGAAAGAAGAATTCACAACATTGAAGAAAATAATCTTCAAAGTTCTTTTAGTATGACAAACCCGGACAGTTCCTAAAAAAGGAATAAAAATAGAAAAATAATAAAAAAGAAAAGAATGATGCAGAAAAGTGTATAACCTGCATTCTGGACTCAGTGCCTATGTAACGCCTTATTCTTAAGCAAACGCATGAAGATGATGTTTTTCATACAAATAAATTATAAAAAACGAGCCTCACATTCTGTATGTTTTACCTTTTCCTAAAGTCCTTTTTTTATTGAATTTGACGATATTTAATGTCTAAATCAACGGAAATGTGCTTAAGAGGACTTCATATAAATGTATCTTGTGATGCAGTTGTAATCGATAGAAAATTGAAGCCTCTATGTTCCTACTTTTGGCTAAAAGGGAAAAACGATATATAATTCCCTCAACAAATGATATACTTTCTGCATCGCAATAACGTTACTGGCTCGGAAAAGTGTATCTAGGAGAGCGATGTAGTAAAATGAAAAAGGGGCTCTAGTACATAGCTCAGGAAAGTAGGTAAGACCTATCTAAAGGTAGAAGTGTCCCATATATAATATCCGTATTCTTCACCCTTAGAAATCATCATCGTCCTCCTCAACTTCGTATTTGTCATTGTTAATGGAAACGCTTTCGTCCTCGAAAGAAGAATAGTCGTGGTCATCTAAGTTTATTTCAGTGTTCTTTGTATCACCACCTATTCCGACCTGAGTCACGGGTGCCGCTGGTGGTCGTCCAGCAGAGCCACTTTCCGAGCGTATATTGGTTTTTTGAACTTCAATGTGACTTGCGCTGCTCCCCTCATTGAGGGCATTTTTTCCTGCGCTTTTATTTACTTCAATTATAGGAGATATACTTTTGGGAGTAAATTTAGCGCTTGGTACCGTGGAAGATTGTTGAATCTCTTCTGAATCAGCATCGCCCATGCTAGCCCATATTTTCGACCCAGTCTTGATGTCGTAGCTTTCGTTTCCCCCAGATTCAGAGCTGGCAGCGGGCAGCAGCGTACCTTTCAACAGCTGCTCAATTTCTTCCGGACACTCAGGAGTTCCATATTCTGCGTGGCGTGATTCTAAAGACACACCGTGGACAGGGTACATTACGGTAAAATGTGGCTGTAACAGTTTTGCTTCATTGGCAGTGAAATCATAAACATGAACGAAGCGGTTTAGCTTTGGGTCCAGTCGTGCTGTGGTAAAACTCTTTTTGAGTCCAGGTAAACGCAGGTGAAAAGGTCTAAAAGTAATATGGTGGCTCATTTCGACCACTGGGTCGGTAGTGGTGAAAACGCAGATGTTGAGTCCCACGCAATCACGCACGCGCAGCTGCTTGCATGCCACATGAATGTTCATGTCCTTGCAATTACGCAGAAAAACACTTCCTTCGCAGGCCGCAATGATAAGTTCTCCACCTTCACAGTCATCCACCGTAACGCTGTCCAAAGGGTCAAGAATCAATATATTGCAGTCAGTGAGATATTCTAGCTGGACCTGCTGTCCTGACACTATGCCATTGGCGCGCACAAAGCTACGATTCTTCCAAGAAGAAATATTATAGGTGCTATCTTCACCACCGACCTGCTCTTCATCCGGATTATTGACCGAATCTTCTTTAATATTATCGTAGTTCACACTAGGCTTATTCAAAGTTTGTGCCGCTACGTCACTCTGGGATTTCTTTAAGGTGCTGGTGTCAGTATGAGGAAGGTTAACGAGGCCAGAAAAGTTAAGCCGTTCCATAAAGGCAGATTGCGATTTAGGATTGTCATTATTCTTGATTGCACCCAAACTTTCTGCTGATAAACCAGCTTCCATGCGAAACACGCTAGCGGTATATTCTAGACCTAGGTACTCTAAGAATTGATACACATTCACGAGCAACTCCATCCCTTGAGAAGAGGACTTGGCCTCTATGAGAGATGGGCTTGGTAAAAAATGTTGTTGTTTGTCAGATTGATTGTTGTTGTTGCTTTCTGCACCTTCTATGTACAGGACTTGGAGAGCCGCTTCCACAATCATTGCTCTCATTTTACCCATTTGCCCCGACTTCTCAAGTCGCTCGCGCATATTTTTTTCCAACTCCTCTTGATATGACATAGTTCAACAGCTTTATGTGGAAGGTAGGTGTGTGGAAAATCAATATATACGATAAACCTATTAATAAATATACGTCGATCCTTTTAAAGCAATTCAAAAAATGTTATAAGAGGCAAGAAAAAAGTATGAATCGTCATAAAGCGATATGCATAACTATACACACACTGGGAAATGCCAGAATTCATGTCTTTGGAATTTGTTGCATCCATAATTTTACAATTCAAAAAAACATTCTATATAAGCGCTAGCAGCTTGTCATGTGCATTAACGTCATACTGGCTTTAAATACACATCACATGTATTAATGCATCACACAAGTACATAACATTGCGAACAGAAACTTTAATGAACCCACAACAAAATTATTAGCTCATAAGGTAACAACCGAAGATAAACCGTGCCCTTTTTGCTATGTATGAATACAACATTGGAGGCAAAACTAGCAGTAAAGGCTCCTCGCACACAAAAAAACAATCGTACCTATTGCAAAAATCGAAAGGAGAATGCGAAAGAAAGATTTGGTTGAACAGTAAAAACTTTGTGTTTTGCATCATCATGTTATTGACGACTTAAGGATGTTTCCCTGTATTGGTTGCTAGTCGTTTTCGCTGCCATTGTGATGGTGGGAGGTGGATGCTTGTGATTGTTGTTATTCGATGAATTTTTACCAAGCAGAAGTTGCAATACATAGCGAACGCGAGGGTGCAATAGTGCTGAATCTTCTTCATACTGAAAGATCAAAAAGATGATGGACACGAAATACATAAGCACAACAGCCCAATGTCGTGGATAGGGGAGTCGCCCCATTCGATTTTGCGAGAGAACAAAGGAACGGAGAGCAAAAACAGAACAGTAAAGAGCTAAGTCCATCCGCCGTCCTTTCGGCTCCAGAAAAACAGAAAGACCAGCTGATAGGCATAGAAGTGGGATCATATGTCCTCCACGAGACTTCCGCTGCATTGAGAAGCACTCGGCTCGCACAATACAAGCCGAGTACACAGCTACGAACAAGGAGCTGGTGATAACAGAGGTGATCCCACGAGTAATAGTATGCATCGGACGGGCCATGAGGTGTTTTCTCCGCGTAGCGAGTGTAGTAATGACACACAAAGGACCATACAAAGGAATTCCAAGCCTCAACATGTTTTGTGGTATAAATCGTAAGATCCACTGATTGCAGGTGATACCGGGATGAACATAATTGCACATCATATCTGATGCATTTTCCCCTTCAATAAGGAAGGGGGCGTTACGATCCTGACAAAAAGAAATGAGATCAGGGGTGACATGCCCACATAAAAAGCCGGCATGCCCACGGACAAGGCGTTCATCCACCAGTGACGCCTTGGTCAAAAAATTTTGATAAGATTTTGGCAACGACTGTGGAAAGAACGTGAATCCATATGCAATCTGGGAAGAGTTAATGCACATCAGCATAACGTCGTAATGCTCAAATCTTTGGAGACACTCTGGAAGCTTTGGGAGAATAAATCTAAGGCAAAATACATGCACTGCTCTTACAAGAACATAAAGGGATAGCTCCGCCCTAGTCTCCTTGTCTAGGAGGAAAACAGGAAGTGAACAAATGATACCTGAAATAAGGACAGCGATTCGATGGGATATGCGAAGTGGATTTATGATTCTCGAGACAGTTTGTAAGCAAAAATGAAAACTTGAAAATCCACCGGCTATTGTAGCCCATTTCAAAGGATTAAGAGAGAGGAACTCATTTGGCAATTGTCGAAGGAACTCTCTCCCTAACCCACGTTTCGACAGGAGTCTCAAAACCCCAATACCAACACGAATGAGGGCTGTAGTGATACTTTTGCCTATGACGATACGAAGGGTGCGCCGTGTGGATATCCTTCTGAGATGTGCAGCTTCATTCAGCTCAAGATTTGTACCGTTGCGCTCATTTTGGTTTTGTTTTTCAGTATTAACCATTATTAAGGATTATTCAATTACTATCTTAGAAAGATGAACTATTGTTACTTGGAATATGGAATATATATTTTTTTATCATATCTCAAAAGCGAAACTCCAAGAACAAAAATGGAAAGATAAGTATATGACATGATAATTTATGAATGCAAATGTTCGTTTACTAGAAACCACTGCGATCACCTCTCAGAATAATCTTGGAATGACCTTTTTATCAATAATGAAAACGATGGAAAAATTATGCACCGGTAATACAAATTATCAAAGCGTGTCACTTTCAAGATCAATAAACTCTCCTTTAACTTGCCTGACAACAATAAATTCTTTATCACGCTTCATATTCTCCAAAGCACGATCGATATAGGGGCGATCAAACTCAGCAAACATACGGCGCCGTCTTTCGCCTGCCTCTTTAATTATCTCTTGCCTTTTCCACTCCTTTCTTAGCCTTTCTTGTTTTAGCCTTTGATTCATCACCTTTTCCATTTCCTTTTTTTTAGATGCTTCGATAAGTTGCTCCTCAAAATGTTGTTTCTCCTCCGAGTCATTAATTTCAATGAGAGTCGAACGTAAAAGAAATTTACCCTGATTAAATTCATCGTAAATCACAATAAGCTGAAGTGGCATTGAGCTCACTTGAGCAGATACAACGTAGTAAGAAGTTGAAATGCTTTTCTCTGTGCTACTATCACTCTCATTAAATACATCCTGATTGAAATTGCTGAATTTAACAAAGCTGCGTGATGCATTTTTCGGTGATAATGGAGAAAAAAATGCAAGCTCTCCAGGTGTGTGGTTGGATAGGGCATACTCTGCTACAACATTAGATGGAAAGGCAACGGAAAAGGGTGGAGAAGTCGTATTAAGGTACTCTATGCTCGACCACGACTTTCCCATGTCCCCTGACGTAACTTTGCAATAGTTATTATTATTTTTCGCGACAACAGCTATTTTCGAATCACCTTGAATTTGAAGATACATTACATCCGATCGATTAAATGGCAATGGTTCCACCATAGTCCAGTTGAATCCATTCATGGACTTGAAAAAATATGGACATTCAAAGTTACTACTGTCGATTACAGTAGCAGTCATGCCATAAAATCCCTCAGATAAAATGTATTGCACATCACCATTAAATTTTATTTCCTTCGGTATAATATTGTGTTTTGGTTGAAAGGAAACTTCTTGTGGTGAAAGTTTGCCCACAACAGTTTCATTTTGGAGTGAAAAAACAACCGTCGAGTATACTAAAAGGCTATCCTTTTTTCTAGAAACCTTCTCATGCATGCAATACAACTGGCCATCTGACACAATACCGCCACTTCCGCAGAACGGTAAGCTGGAGTTCACAATCACAAAGGTTGAACCCTTGTTGAATGAACACAATAGCTGTTCTGAAGAACCGGAACTTTCAAATGTACTATTAATAGTCTGGAAGCAGAAAGTAGTATCAGAGAACTGAATAGCGTTGCTTGGCTTCCATAAATTATGATCTGTCTCAATTACTGCAGTCTCTTTAACATACACTTCGAGTGCATCTGTCAGGGCTAAGTAGGTGAGAAGTAAGAACACTTGTACAAAAATGATATTTCTGCGCATCATTAACACTTTACTGAGAAAAAAAACAAGTACAGATGAGAATAGAGCATTTTATGAGGAATGGCTCTTCACAGCTAAACCTTAGATACACTTAACAGTATAATGAATCAAATGTCATAAGTATCACGGAATCACTGGTAAGTGGATCTAAAACTTTGTTTCTCCCTTCTCTTCCTTACGTACTGTTCGAATATAATAAAAAGGCTAATGAAAGCTGTTGAAACAATAAATGACTAAATAAAAAAGCATAAATATGAGCTCGCATAAACTTGCATATTATTTCTGAATATTCGATACTTTAAGAGAAACATAAGGGTACTCTTGCTGCAAAGCGCCAACGTTTAGTACTGAGTCAATTTCTAATGGCGAAGAAAATTCTGCATAAAGCTGAATAATGCGTTTGCGAACCTCTACTTCTTTATCAGAGGAAGCGTCTAGAACAAAAGAAACAAAAAGAGATGGAAGCCCATACCTTAGTACAGATTCAACAAACACTCGCATAGCCTTTAGATGTATCCATGCAACAAAGCAAACGCAGTACTGTTGCCAAAGGAGAGCATACAGAGTCTTTCTCTTCCTTTCCTCTAGTTGTTGCGTATCCTTGAGTTCAGCTGGTGAAAAGTCATTATCCTTAGCGATTTCTCTCACGACATAACGCTTTTTGCGACATGCACTCTTAAAGTCATCAGCTACCTTACGAAAAACAACAACACTGTTCAAAACATATTCTTTATCCTCAGCAATAACATGATTGGATTGTGGGCAGACGTATTCATTCATTCTCCAGTATTCATGCAGCCATTCCTTTTGTTGAGAAACAGGGACAGCAACGAATACCGTAACGAGAAGGTCTGTGTCCACAATACTCTGAGAGTCAGATCTAGATCGGTCAACTAATTCATGTATTGGACGTATTGAGAGATTTCCATCGAGTTTTTTATTCGCTACTAGTATTTTATTACGCAAATCGTTATACTCTGTCAACTTTACACGCACCCTTTCCTCAGCAGATTGGTTTATTTTATCAAGCTTATCGATCAACAACAGAATACTATCTTGTGGATCAAACTGCTGTGTGCTCCACATGAAATTTTTAAGGTAACCAGAAGGAGACATTTCTTGTGTTTGGTTAATCCGAAATGTCGTGACAATGTTTCTTGGCTTTCCTGATATTTCTTCCATAAGCCCGACCAGCCTTTTAACTGAGGTTTCCATTTGTGCATCAAGTTTCGTGAGTTTATCGCTAGCTTCCATCAATGAGTCCAACGTTCCGATTTTCAGCATTGGAATTGAAAAATATCGAAAAGTCTGCTCGAGCGGAGTCATTTTGCGACAAAAAAACTTAAACTGCACGGATGCAGACTGATCAGTACATTGCGGATGATAAGGAAGCGATATAATGAAAAAATTATCTCGCATTACAAATCTTTCGCTTGTTTTTCGTTTTTTGTATTAACAGAAGTAATAAAGATTATAACAATAACAATCTACGAAAATTCTAGAGCTTTAAAAAATGAGATGAAGAAAGGAACGTCACCTTCAATTTTTTTGTGTCTGCATAAAGACAATTAAAAACAGACCTATTTTTATCACGAATAATCTAGGATAAATTACAGTTCAGAAAAAGAAACAGAAATGAGGTCATCTGCTTCACACTAAATTCAAAAAAAAATTAACGAGCACTCAATCATGGGGCGAAGAGAGCCATTCTCCTTTGAGTAAGTAACTTAAACTTGAAATCAAGGAAATTAGAAAGGAAACGAATAAAATCATAGGCGCCTTTGAGTGCTCGCTGTTATCCAATCTACTCCAGACACGACCTTTTGTGTGTCCCAGCCTAGCGTCTACACAATCCCCTCTCAGAGCTAACCTTCTGGAAGGAATAACTGCCACCCCAACCCCCCACCAGGGTTTCGGTCATACCTCACTCGGAAAAAAATCTTTAAAAGGCCCAATGGCTGTGGCAGAATGATTAACGTCCCAATAGTTAAAAATCATAAATCTAGTGCAATGCAACACAAAGCACTCCCTTTTTTTCTAATTCTTCGACAGAAAGGTTGCGGGAAAAAATAGGTAAGCTAGAGAAGCCCCCCCCTTTGCTCGTATAAATTGATGAATAAATGGGGGATTAATTATTTTAACGGCCTTCCCACCACTAGCTGTACCATTTCAATCGACACTGCTTCACTAGTCTAGCTTCATTATTCAAATTGTGTTACCCCGAAAGGCCCCGGGTTCCTGCGAACGCCCCCGCAACGTTAAAGCAGGGCTTCGATGCCAATAATGCATTTGAAGCTGTATCTGGAGACCAAAAAAACGTTAACAGTGTTCAATCAGAGAGTTTCATCCTCTCAGACAGCCTCTGCGGAGGACCTGTAAATTCCCTACCGGCACCGGCAGCCGAGCCCGCACACCCCCGCCGATGGCGGGAAAGAGCGGGGGAAATTGGCTTCGACAAATGGCTACTAGTCCGCGGCACCACGAATAGGTAGCCGGCATATACCTCAATCATTTTTCCGAGATATAGCCTTTCCAAATATTTCCATTCGCCCCCCTCCAAACAAACACCGTTGGAAAGAAAAAGGCCTGAAAAAATTGCACCTATTCCAAGTGATGGAACTGTACTGACCCAAGTGGGGTAACTTATTCTGTCGGATAAAATGGAAAAGCCGAAATGACTTTCGTTAAGTAAAAACTGAATTTTTAATTCACATCCGCGGAATCTACCGCCCCATGGGCGCCGCTAAAAGAGCCATGGTTTTGGCCACGATCAAAGGCGCCGTGGCCCGGCCGTAAAGCATCCCAACCTGCTCAAAATGCACTGCAACCTTTAGCTGTTGAGAAAATTTATGTCAAGAAACGGAATTGGATAATATTAGCATGTTATGTAGCAAAAATGGGCCAATATATCTAATTACTCGTCCCGCAAGCCGGGGAATATGTGATAGGAACCCCGGTGAGGGCATCTGTCCCCATTTCCCGATAACCTTGTTTTATGTGACCCTTTGATCTTAGCAGAGCCTTTTCCTCATTGGAATAGAAGGCATTGATATTTTTAATAATTTTAAAAAATATAGATAACATCGATATCGCCCCTGGGGGCGGCGATTTGGCAGCCAGGGGGGGGGGCCCTTTGGGCAGCCATAACGATTTGGTATCAAACATGCAAATGGGCCCGCCGCCAATTTAGATTTTATTTGGATGAAAATGTGCCTCAAATAAGTTACTGCAACTAGCAGGAAAA